CAATCAGTGGAATAATTCAATAGTAATAACAGCAGAACGGCGTGAGAAGCAAGCGATAATCACGCAAAAATCACATGCCCGCCCTCCTGTCCAACTTTCCATCTCAATCTGCTTGCTCTTCGCCTCAGTTTCAGCTCTAAGCTCAACGGAACGTTGCTAAAAATGGGGACAAGTAAACAACATTCGAGATTTGAAAGTTCGAAAACGAATGCGCTGAAATCGATTATATTCGTGCACTATTACTATCAGTAATATGTAAATCATTCGAATTAGTCATTATGATCGACAACTGCAAATCGCATGGTTCAGTTCACTAGGCACGTGTGCATAAACCTGAATTTATGTTCTCTGCTCCGATGATTTCAATACGACACAACTGCTGATGTCAATAAACCGCAATCAAAGTTCAAATAAAAAATATTGAATTTCGATACAAGTATCAGTTCAGACTAGAATTCAGACTAAAAATTGAAAAAAAAAGATAAGTAGATAGGGCAAGAACCAGTGAAGTGTTGAACAAGAAATATTTTTTTCACTGGTAATTGAAGTTGAACCTCAGTTGGACAGTGCGTGCGTGCTTATTCGTATACGAATAGACAAGACAAACTGAAGGAGTGACTTGTGAACGGTGATCAAAACACTAAAAAATAATTGATGTGCAAGAGAATGACACGCATGAATATGCTGAGCAAAGAATAGCAATAAGAAGAGCATTCACGAAAAATATCATTGAGAATACTCAAAACGTACGACAGCATACACTGAGAATCAGGATATCGTCGTCTATGCAACAATCATAATGAAACGAACCGACGCTTGACGAGCCAGTTGTATAAGGCGTTTTAAATCTTGTATTGTGCCATACGCTTTGACATATTGCTCAATTCGAATATCACCATACTTGGTGAAGCACTTCGTGCCCTGAAATACACGAATCGTTCATCTAAACATCCTTAACTGATACCTTCTGTCTGAAATGTTATTCGGTCGCAGTAATGTTCCCTTTGACATATCCGATAATATCAAAAATATGTCTATATTTATTCAGATACAATGGATGTGACTGATCGAGTCCGCGATTGATTCTCTTATGGTTCAGCACAAATTTGATTCTCTCAGATAGGCACTTTTTTATGAAAGAGTTGCGATTCACGAGATCATTAGCAATTGAAGTCGATCGCAGACAAATTCCAGAATTTATGTCATCCCTGAAACTTCCACAAGCTATTTGTTCGACTCAGTTGATGTGACTGTAAAGTAAAGACACAATAAAGGCAGCAGTACAAATGCAGTACCACGAAACTGGTTTGATCAGAGAGTAATTTAGTGGATGTTAGACAGATTCTCGCATCCTAATTTGATGAAGGAACGAAAATGTTGCGACTAAACATCTTCAGATGAATGCGAAGTTTTTTGTACAGTTCCAGTTTTGTGAATTTGGATGTTTTTCGATTACAACAAAATTTGAACCATCGTACACTTATTGTACCCCAATAGATAAGTTCGAAAAAGATGCATCCCGACTAAGTGTACGACGCTATTGCTAAAAATGCTTTGCTACAATCGAAGACTGAACTTTTCTGACAGTTTCACTGTGCTCGCAAGCAATTTCGTTTTCGATACTCGAGGATGTCAATAGGTTCTTGTGGACTACCGCAAAACGGAACGATATTCTAGTGGGGAAATTTGCGTGGATGATTTGAAAATAGCTGAATTGGCAGGATGAAGAATAAAGCGAAGAATTTTGCTTTAAAGAAACACGAACCCAGTGCATATTCGCGTGTCGTCGTGAGGTCATATCCAATACCTCGAATGTTAATTTCAGTGCAAATGCAAATGCACCAACGAAAGAAAAGAGCAATTCGTGAAAGGTTGAAGGTCTACCGCTACGTTCCATGAAGGTGAGGATGATACAAGGAGAATGCACCATACATGTTCGGCGACTGTATCAGTCAATTCAGTAAGAACGAAGGCTGTCAGCAGCAGTGAGAATGAATTTCATAAAAAGTAATCGCTTTTTTCAAATGTAAAATTAATGGATGCAAAACGAAGTCTTGAAGGAAGAGATGGAGATGACCGCAAAGAGTTTTTCGCATAAAATTGAATGTTTGTTACGGATGAAAATATGATGCGATCGTTAATCAACGATTCGGGATTACTTGCTGAATGATGCTTTTTTTCCTGGTAAGACATGCAACAGAACGACGGTTCATTTTTTTAAATTTTCCGTTCAAAATATATAATAACATTAAAACGGAGCAACCATTTAAGTCCATTTCATAAAACAAAACTTGAAATTTCTTTGCGCACAAAACACAAATGAAACTCTTCCAACAATATAACTGAATCAATCGCATTCTTAAGCATCAAAAAAACTATGACTGATGTGTGGAACACAGTCTACGAAATAAACACCAAT